ACTATTGTTCTCCGTGGTGGAGCTGATCAGGTATACATCAAATATTGGAGGCTTCATGAATGAAAACCAATCAACACAAATATTAATTCCTTTGAAACATTAATGGCAGTTCATCGAAGAAGCTGAGCGGAGTTTACATGATGCGATTATGATTGTGAGAAGAGCTGTGAAGAACTCAACTGTTGTTCCTGGAGGTGGAGCTATAGATGTAAGTGTCCTCCATTCACTGTGGTTCAGTTTTTAAGTTTTGCACGTAGGGTTGAGCCATTCCTCCTGGTTGTAGATGGAGATAAGCAAGTACCTGAGGCAGCATTCAAGAACAATTGCTGGGAAGTCACAGCTTTTCATCAACTCTTATGCGAAGGCTCTGGAGGTACACTTCCTGGTTGACTTGGATGTTTTAACTTTTGTGCCTCTTGATTTCACATATAAATTAAGAGCTTTCTAATTGTATTCTTGTAATTGGGCACCTATAGAAAAGACATATTTCCTGTTCGCTTGTTGTTGTGTACAATAGGAGTTAGTAAACAACCAAGGAGGGTCCCAATATCTTTGGCCAGGATCTGAAATTTGTTGGTTCACCTTTGATACACAAAAATCTGAATTCACACTGTTTGTGGTGGTACTACAGGTTATTCCACGACAGTTATGTGACAATGCTGGATTTGATGCAACTGACGTCTTGAATAAACTTAGACAAAAACACGCCATGCAAAGCGGTGAGCCTTCTCTCACAGTCACAAGCTTGATGTATTAATCTTTTGATGGGATCTAATCTCATTCATGATATCTTTGTTATAACCTGATAAATTTGTTATAACAGGTGAAGGAGCTTCGTATGGAGTGGACATTAACACTGGTGGCATATCAGATTCTTTTGCTAACTTCGTTTGGGAACCAGCAGTTGTGAAGGTATTTCAAGATTCTATAAAATTCCACTCTTTTTTCCATTCTTGGGACTATTGTGCCAGTTATGAATATGTCTATCTTCTGTGGATATTTTTCATTGAAAAGTTTATTGATAGTATGATTCCCTTTGTTCTGGCAGATCAACGCAATAAATGCTGCGACTGAAGCGGCTTGCCTCATTCTTAGTGTGGACGAAACTGTGAAGAACCCTAAAGTAAATAACACATGCTCTCATTTCTTTTGTATGTTTTTGACAATGTATATATATTGTATTGATAATTGTTGTTAATTGCAGTCTGAGAGCGCACAGGGAGACGCTGCAGGTGCAATGGGGAGAGGGCGCGGTGGAGGTCGTGGCCGTGGAATGCGAAGGCGATAGGCTCTGTCTCTTATGCTAAACTTGTGGGATTCTTCTCTAAATTTCGATTTTGTTGAATTTTTGTTTTGAAGTTAAAAAAGCTATCATTGGGTTTGTGTTGTTCAATTAGAATACTGGTTGGTTATGTATGTCTATACAATCTGTGAAACAGAAGTTTTAGCGTGGTTTTAGTTAAGGAATTTACATTTGCTTAGACAAATCTTGACAAGGATGAATCACTGTACCAAATTCAGTTGTGTTGTAGATGCCTCTCTAACTATATGCATCATCATCTTGATCTAATAGTCATCCAATGCATACACTTGAATATTTCGAAATCTGTATGGTGAATATATTAGTTTCGTAGCTAAGTATACTTGATCTTGACTACACAGAAAAAACTCAAAAAGCTAAACACCAACTCGGGAGTTAAACTCGGTGAGTGGATCTTTGGGTGAAGAGCTTAGAAGCTTAGTGAGAAGAGTTATATCGATACACGGAAACTTCTTCCACTCATCAAAATGATCTTTAAGTATATCTTTTGCTTTCTCCTTCAAGTTCAAACCACAATCCATTCCTAGAACGGAACAAAGCTTCTCTACCGTCCCAACGTTTACCATCTCTTCCACCACCATGTTTTCCGGCGAGAATTTTGACACTGTACTTAGGATAGAGATAGCTCTATCGTCTGCTACAGGTGAAACCCTCAATAGCCGCTTCGTCACAACCGCGATTCCGCCCCTATGAGAAAGAATCTCGGCTCTACCGTTGGCGCAACAACATAAACGAGACAAAACTCCTAACATAAGTTCTGTGATTCTTTTCTCGCCTGAGTAGCTCATTTCCAGTTCGATGAGTTCAGAAACCGCACCGAGATCCACAAGGATCGATCGGTTTCGGCTCCACGAAGAAGTCTCTAAAAGAATCATCAGCGCGGCAGTCACCGCTTGTTTAATGACCAAACTATGATCAAGTTTTAATGGTTCCTTTTTTCCCAAGCTAGGCCTTGATGATTGAACCGTATCTCTCACGGTAGGGCTCGTCCGATTAAGACTGCTTACTACATCCTTGAGAAACTCTATGATCCCTTTAAAAATCTCGGGATTCAATCTCTCTACAATATGAGAGGAAGTGTGTTCCATTAGATTCTTTAAGATCACAATTGTATAAGCCCTATTGAAGAAGTCTTCTTGGTGTAAAAGCCAAGTCAACGATTCCATGATTCGATCGTTTTCGATCAAAATTGTTTTTGCGTCGTTTGATGGAACACCGATCAAGTGAAGAAGACGAAGAGACTGATCTAGCCCTTTGATACGACGTCGTCCCTCTTCGTCTTCACTAGTACACTTGACTACGAACAAGATCAAAGACTTATGCACGCCTGCTTCACACATCAATCTCCTGTTATTTCCCTCCATTGCCAAAACTTCAAGCTTCTGCAACGTTTCTTCTCTTCCTAAGGCTGCAAAATTACCCAAACCAAAATTATTTAACGGATCGGTATCAAAACATTAAACCAAGCTGAACTTAAAATTGGTCTAACCGAACCTAGCTAATATATAAAAGGTTTTTTCGATAAAAAAAGTTTTTGTAAGTTTAGTAAATTACATAAAAAGTATAATTTAATTCATTAGAAATAATTATTTACCTACTTTTTGATATATTTTTATCCAAAATAAATACACAAATAAGCAAATCCATGTAACCGATTTTAAGAAACTAAAAGCAAACCGAATTATTCGAAATAACCGGACCCATACCTTCTTGGCCGAACCCTTTGAGATTTTTGATCTCCTCGACGACGTTAAGTTTTCCAGGAGGAGCTCGAGGAGTAGAGATTCTGACAACGCCACGAGTCTCGTTCTCAACGCACCAATGTTGGATCAGACGGCGAAGCATGTGGTTAGGTGTAAGATCGGAGTCTAAGGGAAGGGGTTGCTTCGTGACAGGACAAGAAGGGACCTTTTCGAGCCATTTAACGATGCTTTGACGGTCGTAAGTGATGCCAGAAACGGTCGTGACTGGATCTTTCATGATCTCAAGTGAGATTGGGCAAATAAAGTAATTAGGAATCTCGATCTCTTCCTCTTCATGATCCATTTGTTGGGAAAACCTATGATTTGTACCTAGTATATAATGATGATCGAGAATAATAATCGTGAAGAAGAAGAAGAAAGTAAACATGTGGTGGAGGTAAGAAATGGCGGCTCCGTTTACTTGATTGGTCTTCGCTTTGAATTCCACTAACATATGTTTTTTAGACAAATAAATATCCACTATCAACACATTACACGTGTATGTTTTGTTTGTCAAGTATACTCATTAAATTACAATTTTATATAAGCCTTCTCCTAATTATTTTTATTTTTGGTAATCGAGAAATTCAATATCGAAGAGTTCTAGACCATCTTTTTTTTTTTTAACAAGTGATTATAGCAAATATGTTAAATCTTTTTTTTTACTGTCAGTAGAACTCGAGTTTAGAAGTTAGAACATGGTCATGAATTATTATCCTCCCAAAAAAATGTCTAAGGTCGATCAATATAACCAACACACTGACACAGGATACCTAATTACAAATATTCATTAAGTTACGAACATTTTTTTGGTAACTCTATTCAACTGATGGTCACCAAACAGAACATTCTATTATATCTTTCACGGATATTTTTGTTTCATTTTAAGGTCAACAAATATATAGGAAATTTAGGAATGTTGACAAAAAAGGAGTTTTTTTCTTATACCAAATAAGAAAGAAAGAAAATAATAATTTTGTTTTCCTAAGAGGGTATGTTTAACGATTATATGTTATTCTTCTTTTATATGTACTCTAAGTTGCATTGCATACATTAAAAATATGAAGATTCTTAAATTGCTTTCGTCTGAGAGTTTCTCCATGATGAAATTGCTCATGCATGTACATGTATTCGGTAATGTATTGCATCATAAAAAATATCAAAATGGGTTGTTGTATAGTATAAAAGATAAAAATACAAATATGCTTACACTTTGGTTGCAATAAAATTAAACCGGCTATTCCGTCGACCGCTTTTGCGTATGGTACATATCACCGAGTCATATAATACTGCTCCATTCTCAAAATACATACGTACAGGACGGGTTTAGCTAGGTACGAAGCGGACGGAATAGTAGTATCAAAATTCTATGAATTTACTATTTGTCTTCTTTTTAAAAGCATTCAAAACGTCACTTCAAGAAAATATTGGTGTCGAATCGTGGCCTATAAAAGTCTCATTACAAAATATGTATGCCCATTAATTTGGTGCATACTAGACTTATGGGTCGTCTAATGGCGACGTTGTTTGTCTGGTGCATGCATGTAAGCAGTAAGCATCATATATGACTGACTTGTATGAGCTAGAACATTCTGAAAATGCAATCAATTCATTTTATATTTCTTACTATGAAAATATCGAAAGTCTAATGTTCGGACACGCCTATAACAATATTTTTAGATCAGTAGTCAACTCCTATAATTTATAATTTGATACTATAATAGTTAAATTCGGAAATATATTTTTTGAAAATAATAATTGGTCCAAATCAAACAAATCAGTTTCTATTGGTCACCACGTATTTAAACATGTATGAGAAAAACCAATATAAGTTACGAGAAAATTACCAAAGTCCTGCAATAAAGCCCAACAAATGTTTAACCTAATGTGTTGCCCGGAACCCTAACACGGATCCGTATTGCAGCCAGTCCCTAAGTTACTTCCCACTGAATATGTCCTCAAATGGAGAGGAGAGGTTGACCGAAATGAAGAAGAAGAGGAAGACAACGCCTAGGATTACGACGAAGAAGAAGAAGAAGAATAAGCCGTCAACAACGCCGCAATCGAGCCCATTTCTGTCACTTCCCGATGATTTGGTATTGAACATCGTCGCACGCGTCCCAAGATTGTACTATCCGACTCTATCCCTCGTCTCCAAGAGCTTTCGATCTCTGCTAGCTTCACCGGAGCTTTACAAGGTCAGGTCACTCTTAGGAAAGACCGAGAGTTGTCTCTATGTGTGCATCAATTGGTTTCCTGAAGGTTTTCGCTGGTTCACCCTCTGCCGGAAACCTGATCAAACCCTAACCAATGATGAGAAGAAGAAATCAAGTGGGTATGTTTTGGCTTCAGTCCCAATGACCAATACTCCTCATGCGGATTTTGCGAGTGTGGTGGCGCTTGGTTCTGATATCTATAACATTGGCGTACCACAATCCTCTAGGGAAGCCTCCTCCTCTAGCGTCTTTATTCTGGATTGCCGGTCTCACACTTGGCGCCAGGCTCCAAGCTTGCCGGTGGAGCTATTTACTGTCTCTGTTGGCCTCATTGATGGAAAGAAGATTTATGCTGCAGGATTTTTCGATGCCAATTCCGAGGACAAGAACTCACTCTCGGTGTTCGACCCCAAAACACAAGCTTGGGATCCTGTGCCCATCCCTTGCAGTGAGCCACTCGGCGTGTTTTACCGTCACAGCGCATGTATTGACGGGAAGTTACATGTGGCGGCTCAAAATATGAATGTTGCTTACAACTTCAAGGAAGCTAGATGGGACAGCTCTCAACGAGTAATATATTATCACATGATTTCTAATTCTTTTTGCGTGGTTGAGAATGTTCTCTACTCGGCTTCTCATGGAGCATTCAAATGGTATGACACCGAGGCAGGCTGGAGAGTTTTGCAGGGTTTGGTAGGACTACCCAAGTTTCCTCATGATTCTTGTGTTAGGTTGGGTAATTTTGGTGGAAAGCTAGCTGTTTTGTGGGAGACGATCCCTTATGGTAATGTGCATTGTAGCCTTATAAAGAAGATGATTTGGTGTGCGGTGATTGAGCTTGAAAGACGCCCTAATTGTGAAATTTGGGGGAAAGTTGAGTGGTTTGATCATGTGCTTACAGTCAGCATATATAGTACACTCGAGAGTGTTGTTTCTGCTACTGTTTGATGGATGAGTCGCAAGGCTTAAACTTGTGTGTTTTATTGGTAATATCGTTGCTTATTTGGAATGTGAGTGTTCTTTTAGTGTATGTGATAGACCTCCAAAGAAAAAAGAAGAGGACAAAGGAAACCTTGGAGATGGAAGAGTCAGTGAGAAGTCCAATGATTAATCAGGTGGGAGTAAGGAGGCTCACCGATAAGAAGTATTGGCTTTGTTTAGTTTATTTAGTCTCACTGTGTTTGCGGTGTTGTTTTGGTTTCTTTTTTGAAGTATTGAAAACGTCACTTCAAGAAAATGTTGGTGTCGAATCATGCCCTCAAAAGTCTCATCATTACAAATATGTATGCCCATGAATTTCGTGCATACTAGACTTATGGGTGTTTGTCTTGTACATGCATGTACAAGACAAATATGACTGACTTGTATAAGGTAGAACATTCTGAAAATGCAATGAAAAACTTATGGTGATGAATAGATCTCCAAAATATTGAAAAACAAATCCATGAATGAAACAATTTATGTTAGAAACCATACAAAGATTGTATAGCCTCTGAGTTATATCATTCTTCAACCCAATTCTTTTATACAATAGTTGAAATATTAGGGAAAACCGATTGAAAAGTGCACATCACATACTTTTTTTCTGCAACCCAAGAACGAGAATCCAATTCAAGTTGAAGAAAGCCACACAAATGTTACCTCGCAATCCAATCCATCAGTATTTGACATTATGTGCTTCGAATTCTAGAGTCAGGAGAGTGATTTTGTTTGCTTGAAATGGTTTTTATCTGTTTCACACTTGCGTGCTCCTAAGACATCGCCATTTTCGTGACCGAGGGACTTTTTCTAGAAGCATTTGCAAGCCGATGTTGTTTCCTGACATTCCAAACATGTATCTGCATATTTGCATTGGAATAGAGATTAGAGACTAAAGTTTCAGAAGCAGCTCCCTAAAACCCAACAGTATTTTTTAACTAAGAAGTGAAACAGTGTCCCTGTTTTTGGAATATCAAGGACAAGATTATAAACAAAGAGAGCAACGGATGAAAATGGATGACAACTTTATGATAAATCTTCCAATTATTTTCCCTTGTAGTATTTTCTCAAACAGATACACAGATCTTTTTCGTGCATAAGATATGTGAAGCATAGAGTAACCAAAGTTTGTTACAGGTTACTTACTTGCTTCGACGAGCCTTTCTTTTCCAGGAAACAAAAGATGTGATCCACTGCATAGGAATAATAATCAAAAGAAACAAGTTAGAGAGTGAGAACAGTAGAAAACAAGATACAGCATTAGAAGAAGTTGCTTCCAACCAGAATGTTTTGTGATCATAAACAAACATGACAACAACCCACGAATTGGGGACTAAAAGAGCAAAATAACCTTAAAGACCGGCGTGAAAGTCAATGGCCTAGCAATAGACGCTTTACGTAGAGGCAATCTCCGTTGAGGGACAACTTCCTTTGACAAATGTTGAGCAATTTCTTTCAACAGTACCATTTGAGCCTTTTCAGTCCTCATAGAGAGAAGCGCATGTTTCATTGATTCCCTGTCAGCCTCCAGTGCTTGAAGCCTCATGTAGAGTTTCGTTATATTAGGATCACCAAGATCCGTGTGTTCTCTCGGGAAAACCACATTGCCATCAGAAGTGCCATCCTCAAGCTTCTGCTCAGTTACACCGCCACTATGAGACACACTGCTGTGATGGACAGAATCAATGGTATAAACTCTATCACTCATGTCATCTCCTATTTCCGATGAGTCGTCTTTAGCATTATTATTCTCTGTATATGAGACATCTTCCATTTTCATGTAGCTTCTGGACCTCGGGGAATCAACAAAAGCATCAGGTCTTAGTTCTTTAGATGCTCCCAAGTGTGAACTTGAACCAGTAGGGGAAATCCTCCTAAAATGTCTTTGACGCCTAGGACTCTGACCAACCATTGACTTCTCTGAAACATCTCTCCCTCTCGCTCTCGGGGAATCGCCATTCAACTGAGTAAATCTCGGGGAGTCGCCATTCAACTGAGTAAAGCTAGGATATGTCTCCATCTGGCTGAGTCTTCGATCCAAAGTCTTCAAATGTTCTCGTCCATGAGGGGAATCAGCTGGTGGGTAGTTTTCATCATCTGCAACATAGATATCAGCCTCAAGAGGATCTTGGTTCTCATTAATATTGCACTTTAGAGGAGGGTAATCAGGTATAGGGAAGTCGTATTCGGAATTAATGTCGATCATGCTCGGGTTACGACTAAGCAAGTTCCTCTCACCATCAGCTTCTGCCTCGGTTAGCCCAAAGCTCATCATTCTGTGCTTATAAGCCTGAGTTTCAAATGTAAGAGCCTGAATCGTCTGATCCCTTTGATAAACCACAGCTTCCAATGCCTCAATCTCTGCGTTTTCATAAGTCAATCTGTCCTTAACACAACGCTGAAGCTGTGTCAGTTCCATCAGCATATCAGTCTTTTCCTTCTGCAACTTCCCAATCAGATTCAGTGCTTCATCTACAGCTGTTGATGAAGCAATACGCTCTTCCTCGAGCTCATGATACAAATCCTGAATCGTTTGCTGTTGATTGCTAACAGTCTCGCGTAGTAATTCACATTCGTTCTCGATTTGGACTCTAGGATTAGAGAACATGTCTAGGTCATCCAGCTCCGGTATAGAGAAGCGTTTCTCGGTCTGTAATTCATCGTGTCTTCTCTTCTTCACAGATCGAATCCATGAACCTGAGGAAGAACAACAATCGCATCCACAGTCGCAACATTTGATCGGAGACTCCATTCCCAATTCCAAGATTCTCACACACCAACCACAAAATTATCCAGAGAATCGCGAAAAATTACAGGAAGAGACCTAAATCGCACTAAGCCCTAAATCATCGGAAGCTTTATACGGTTGATAATTTTCTCGGGAAAACAAAAAAATCCAGCTGAAGCCAATTCTGCGAAAAACACGAAGCGAAAACTCAATTTCTACGAAAGGTGAATTTCACAATCTGAATATAGAGAGAAAACAAAATCCGAAAATGCAAATTGATGAAACCTTACTTACCCCTTGGCGACCCAGAAATTCGAGAGAAAAATCCAAAATGCTACTTTCGAGAATTTTGTCTCCCGTCCACGAAACAGAGAAACAGAAAAACCAAAATCAATTTCTCTGCGCGATCCTCGTTTTTTTTTTCTATCGCGTAAACGAAAAAAGGAAAAAAAAAATATAAGCAAATTTCGTAATTGGAGAGAATGAATTAAATTTCGTAATCTATGCAAAAAAAAAAAAGAAAAAAAAAACAAGGTATTGATAATTGTTTGATTTTGAGAAACCCTAAATATCTGTTTTCTTCTTCTGGATTTTTTTTTTTTTTGGCGCAGGAAATTTGATTTTGTTTTGTTTTTAGTATAATGAACGGAGAAGAAGGCTTTTCATGGAGTCTCTGTTCTGTCTCTGAGACTCTGTCTCGTGTCAGAGAAGACTATTTTTGGTATAGACGAGGAGACGATGCATAATCAACGTCCAAGATGAGGTATTGGCTGAGATCAACGGCTGAGATTTGATTGAGTGAGTTGTCATAAGTCATAACCTACGAAGAAGTACATGGCGGCATGACCTCGATTTATATATTGGATACTTAGGGGGGGAGAATTGATTTTTGTTTTCTCTTCTTTTTTTGGGTCCATTTGTTCTTTTAAGGCCCATATCCAGTAGACCAATACAACTAGTCAACTAGGAAAATTGGTTAAGTCAACTTTTTTTTTTGCTAATCAATTGGTTAAGTCAACTTCCTTTGTTCGAAATTCATCGAATAGGTTTTTAATTGTTTATTTGTCAATTTTTATTTTTGTGTTTAACTGGTTTATATATGGTTGATTTGTTGCAAAATGTAAGACCAGTCACGAATTTAGGATTTAATGAAATTCTGTCAGATTGTATTTATGAAGAAAAGGATTTGTGTAGTTTCATATTGAGTTTGTTGATTTGAGTAATTATAATATTTTGATTATGGTCATACTTTTGAAAATCATGTAGTATTAAAATTTTATTATCTTGCTAGCAATGTAAAACCAAACCACAATAAATATTTGGTTTAAAAAGGTCTTAGAATATAAGTAATTCAATAAATTATTTTTTTAATATTCTATCCATTTTAGATGAAATGTCTTTTTTAAATTATTTGTCTAATATAAATTTTGATCTAAAGTATCTCATTTAACTTATAAATTGATAATAGGGGAGGTTTTTAAAAGTGTTCACTTTACTTTTAGGAATTTAATAATGAAAAAAATATCATAAAAAACATCAACTTACCAAAAGTGTTGAAAAAAACATCGATTTTGCATAAGATGAATTAAATCGCGAACTTTTAGTTAACTTTTGTATTAAATCGTAAATTTTCATTGATTTTATTAAATAAAACACGTCGTTAAATCAATTGACAGACTAATTTAACCGAGTTAAGTCAATATTAACAGTTTTCGTTAATTCCAAAAAGACATCGTTTCGGAATAAAAAAATAAATACAAAAAAGACTCCATTAGGATTCGAACCCATGAACACCGAGACATAATTACAACACTTACCCACGAAGCTCAAGTACTTACTTCGATTTGATACACACATAAATACATAACATACACAAACAGATAAGATTTGACCATTGACGGGAACAGAGCCGTCGGGTTGTTACGTACTGGGAATTGAATTTTTTTCAAGCGGCGGTTGAGACGGTGCTTCGCGGTGGTTCTTTGAAACCGATACCGGAGTTTCTCAACAACGGTGGATGACGGTGGCTTGGGATCAAAATTTGAATATTTACTATCACTCTCGATTCTTAAGTTCTAGATCCAGATCTACGGCTTCTACGCCAAAACGGATGCAATTAACGTCGGAACAACCTTCGTCGGAGCTTGATCTCTCTCTAATTCTTACTTTTCCGATTAAAACGGCTTCGTTCAAGGAATATACACCATCGGTACGTACGCGGCGGAGGGAGAGGAGAGAAACGATGAAGTTGCTCAACCTTTTTCGCTCAAACGGTGTCGTTTTCGATATTGGATCAAGTATCATCGGGCATCGGCAAATAAATATTATCAGTTAATTCTTAAGGGCTGTTGGTTAAATACTACTAGATCATGACCCGCACGTACGTGCGGGGTTTCATATTTTAAAAATGTATTGTAATAAATTTTTAGTAAATATAGATTATTTTGTTGTTTGGTGTTATATATTGTAGTATATAAATTATAATGTACCCAAAAAAGATGTAGAATGTTATTTATGTTGTTTACGATACAATAGCTAATGTTGTGAACCATATGTCAAATTTTGGAGTTTAAAACTGAAGAGTAGATTAGGAAAAATCTTAGATTGAAATATAATATAGGTTATATTGATGATGTAAACAAATATATTTTATATAGTATTTATAACCCGAACTCATATCAGTTGGGTAATTAGTTTAATTTTCAGTTTGATTTTAATCTAGCTTATTAATATTTGAATATTTGAAATAATAATGGTTTCAACAGTATTTTAAAATTTGTAACAACTTAGCGGTCGGACCGGGATCAAATTAAAACGGATTAATGGTTAGTTAGATTTTTATTAAACTTGTGAACTATCAAACCGTATATAAAACCGTTAAAAATGTTCAAACAAATATAAATATTTAGAAATTGACGTAATTCCGTTTGGTTTCGCCATATTCCATTATATCTTATACTCGTTCTCCAATTCATGTCGCATAAGAGAATACATTTCTAATATGAGACAAATTTATTAAATATAGATATTTTAAATTTATTTGATAAACTTGGTCCATAATTTTTTTGAACGAATCTTAACAAAATCTTAAAATGAAGAGAGGGTTTAATGTGAATAAATTTTAGATAATCATTTTGAATTAATTGTAAATAATGTGTAAATCTCTTAGTTAAGATTAATTTTCCTAAATCTTTTTTTGTATCAATATTTTGAGAACATTCAGATTTTAACATTGTTGTTGCGTATATATATATATATATACATATATATATATATGTAGAAAGATTTGTTATTGCGTATTTATTGTGTATATATATTTGTTAAGGAAATGTTTTAAAAATCTCACCAAAAAAAAAGGAAATGTTTTAAAATCTAAACTACCTGTTTTTAAAAAGATATTTCAAAATATCATTTAAATTCTAATTAAAATGTAAAATATTTTAATCTTTCTTCAAATTTTTTAAAAAACCAATGGCATCCTATGTAATATTCTACAACTTAAAGGTTTTTTATTATATAGTGATTCCCAATTAATAGTATAGATTTCATTCTCTGAGAGGTTAGTAGTTCGACTGCCAGGTTTGTCTATTTTTTATTTTTTTGGGCAATATTTTTTATAATCTTTATATGTTCGTGTTTGTTATATATTTATGTGTGTATTGAAACCCCAGTGAGGAATTCAGCTTGGTGGTTAAAGAAGTCGTTATTGTGGCTGGAAGCTTAGACCATCTCCAATGGTTAGAAGTGAATGAGGGATTCTTAATCATTTTTTAAAATTTAAATTTTGCTTTTTCAATTGAACATATTTGTATTTTTTAAAACACAATTAAGATAGATTTATTAGGCTATTTAAAAGGATTTCAATTGTTTGATAGTAGGGTTGGGTATTTATGCTTGAAAACTATCCACATTCATAATCACATTTACTTTGAAAAAATATAGTTTACATATATTTCTTAAACTGAAAAAAATCTTCCAATACCATAATAAGCCTAATTGTATACTTCGAGATATGGACATTTACCTATAAGGAAATAGGAATGTAACTTATTTACATAAGTTCGGTAGTTTTAAAACATGAAAAGGAAATATGTTATATAAATCAATTTATTCGCATATTTCATCATAAATTCGAATCAATAATTAATTTGATTATATGATTTATACATATCAAAATTTATTAAAATTTGATGAGGAGGATAAATTTACAATGCATTGAAGTAGAGGAAGATTTAATAGGCCTATGTGTTCTGGTTCGGTTCGGATTTTGGGTTTAGACTTCTAGAACCCATTCAGATATTTATATGTTTGGATCTGGTTGGTTTGAGTTATTTCGGTTCGGCTTCGGGTATCCGAAATATCGGAAAAATCTTTTAAAAATGTAGTTAGATTTGAAAATAGAGGATCCGTTTCCACCATCGGACTCTGTTCCAGTTTGATCCTCTTCTTGTTATGCTGTTCTCTGTTTTTTTTCTTTCTATAAGATCGCCGCTCTAATACCATGACAAAGGTAGAAGAGAAGGTTCCAATTTTCTTATTGATCTTAAGAAGATATATACAGTATACAAAGTATCATATAATCCTAAATCCTAATAGCCTACAATTTACGTATAAGGAAATAGCTAACTTATTTACATAAGAGTCCCTAATACTTTGATTAGTTTCACGAAAATTTTGGATTTGAATATTTGATTAATTTGCTGTATCAATTAACATCCCGGACTTGAAAAATCTTTCCATTACAACCCTAAACCTTAAGAGCATTGAGCTGGTTATTTTCTGGCGTACAAGCACGTGAAGAGGGCTACAAAAGTGATCATTGCAAGTTTTTAAAATAATATAAGTGAAAAGAAAATGAGATATACGTTTTTATACCTTTTCGTTTCAAACTTACAAGTATTATCAGCAATACGATAAAGAGTATAGCTTTAAAATCATAATCTTGTTGTAAACTGTGTTGTTCTATTGATTAATGAATGAGATTTCGATACATATATATACATGATGAAGGGAGACAAATCCCCATTGGGCTACTTGCACTTTACTACTAGTTGAAGTACTTTTGGAACTATATAGGCCGTCATAAGGAGAATCTTCAAGAACATGGGCATGGGCCTTCTAGGACATGGACATGGGCCTTCTAGAATATGCATAAGGTCCACGGTTATGGATTCCATCCAACATGTGGTTTATAACACTCCCCCTTGGATGACATAACCGTGTAGATGCCAAAGGATCTCAGTAATACGCTTGGGGATGCTGCCTCATTAAAACCTTACCAGGAAAACCCATTGGGACAAAACCATGGTTAAGGAAAAAGAGTACAACACGTATTACTCCCCCTGTTTTGGTCATCCCTGCAAGTCCTTAAGTCTCCGCATTCCAATTTGATGCGTGAGCT